GGGTCCGGTTGCAGCCGCCAACTGCAGGGCCTGGGGAGAAGGGTAGTAGTAGGCTGTGTCTAGACTGGCAAGTTTTCCCGCAAATGCTTTTAACGGAAAAGTTTTCTGTTAAAAGCATTTGCGGAAAAGAGCGTCTAGTTTGGCACAGGCGCTTTTCCGCAAAAGCACTTTTTGCGGAAAGTGTCCGTGCCGATCTAGACGCGCTTTTCCACAAAAAAGCCATTTTCACAATCGGGGCTTTTTTGTGCATAACAAATCTGAGCTATCTACGCTGGCCCTTTTGTGCAAAAGCTTTTACGGGAGCAGCATAGTATTTCTGCAAGAAGCGCTGATTTCTTACATGAGATCGTCAGTGTTCTTGCAGAAATTCAAGCGGCCAGTGTAGACAGCTGGCAAGTTTTTCCACAAAAGCAGCTGCTTTTGGGAAAAACTTGCCAGTCTAGACACAGCCATAGTGTTGGCTGCAGAGTCCCGGCCGTGCAGAGCTGTCAGCCAAGACCCCACTTGCAGGGCCAGGATCTCAGGACTGCTGCAGCACCCCGCCCACCCTTAGCTCTCCCTTGCCTAAGAATGCTGCCCCTACAGCTCCCTTTTGGCAGGGAATATGAGCAGGGCAGGGTCACAAATGGGGTGAGCTTCACATCCTGCACTCCATCCTATACACACTCATCCCATTCCCCTGCCCTGAGTCTCTCATATACATCTCCACCCCCTGCTCTGAGCCCCCTTGTAGCCAGACAGGAGCCCCCCCCCCCCCCTCCGTAACATCCATTTTTGCTTGCCTGGAGCATACAGGGCACACAGAGCAGTAAAAGCCTTGAACAGAAGGCCCGGATATGCAGGCTGCTGTGACCCTAGATGGCTATAAACAGATATGCCAATTGTTGACCTCGAGGCTGTGAGAACTGCCTTGGCTGGCACCTATATGGATACAAACACAAAGCCGTCTGAGGGGAGAGGAATCTCTCGCCCAATAAAGAATGTCCAGTACTCACAATTTAGTTATCTCTCTTCCAAGTGTAAATTAAGTTGAAACTCCCTTGTAAGAACTGGCGTCACAAAGACAGACCAACACAATTTGGCATCTTAGATAAGAAAGACGATACAGGCCCCTATGGGTATAAAGATGGGTCCAGCAGCACACTTACTCTGAGCATCAATCTACCATCTATCTGCTGGTTGGGTTAGGTGATTGGC